AGTACCATCAGGTGAGAAGCATACTGAATTTACACAACTATCATGACCATCCAATTTGGCTATTTATTATCCTGTCTAAACATCCCATAAACGGATAGAAAAATTCCCTCCATTATAAGGATTACCACAACCAGAAGCTAATGTAGTACCATTAGGTGAAAAGCATACTGATATTACACAACTATCATGATTATCCAATTTGGCTAGTTATTATCTTGTACTGACCTCCCATAAAAGGATAGTGTAATCATCACTACCAGATGCTAATATAGTGCCGTCAGGTGAGAAGCATACTGAATTTACACAACTATCATGACCATCCAATTTGGCTATTTATTATCCTGTCTTGACAACCCATAAACGGATAGAATTATCATCACTACCAGATGCTAATGTGGTACTATCAGAAGAAAAGCAACACGAATTGACAAAACTAGTATGCCCACATAATTTCGATTTAAATTTTCTGGTCATAAGATTCCATAATTTGATATTCTTATCATCACTACCAGATGCTAATGTGGTACCATCAGGAGAGAACTATACCGATTTGCTATGTACTTTTATTATTGATTTTTTTTGTCCTGTCTTAATATCCCATAATAGGATAGACTTATCATCACTACAAGATGCCAAGGTTGTGCCTTCAGGAGAGAAGCAAACTGAAAGGACATAACCCCTATGACCATTTAGAGTTGACTTTTTTCGTCCCGTCTTAGCATCCCATAAACAAACAGAATTATCATCACTACAAGATGCGAGTATTTTACCATCAGGAGAAAAACTTACTTAAAGGACAGCTCTAGAATGACCATCTAATTTTGATTATTATAGGGCTGTTTTAACATCCCATAAATGGATGGACTAATCAAAGCTACCAGACGCAAATATTAAGCCATCTGGAGAGAAACAAACTGATGTAACCCAACTACTATGGTCATACAACATAGATTTTAGTTGGCCTTTCTGCACATCCCAAAAACCGATGGAGTCATCACTACAACCAGATGCTAATGTACAACCATCTGGAGAGAAGCTAATTGAATTAATCCAACTCCTATGGCCAAAAACTCTAAATAATATTTTTTATGCATTAACATCCCATAAACAGATGGAGCAATCTCCACAACCAGATGCTAATTTAGAACCATCAGGAGAAAAGCATACTGATATAACAGGGCTATTATCAGTATTTAATTTTGCTCTAGATATCCCATTCTTTATATCCCATATATGGATAGAGTTATCTAAACTACCAGATGCTAATGTAGTACCATCGGGAGAAAAACAAATAGATTTCACATCATTTGAGTGACCATTCAATTTTGATTTTAATTTACTTTTCTTAACATTCCATAAACAGATAGACTCACTGCTACTAGATGCTAATATATTACCATCAGGTGAGAAGCATATAGAATTCACAACATTAGAGTGACCGTTCAATTTTTATTTTTTTTGCCCTGTCTTAACATCCCATATATAGATATAATTATCACTACCAGATGCTAATGTAGTACCATCAGGAGAGAAACAAACTGATTGAACATAATTGCTATAACCATCTAATTTTGCATCTTATCTTCCTGTTTAAACATTCCATAAACGAATGGAACCATCTCCAAAACTGGATGCTAATGTAGTACTATCTGGGGAGAAGCATATTGACCAAACCACACCGCCATTGCCATGTAATTGATGCAATTGATTTATTTTTATATTTTTCCATTTACAATTAAATAACTATGCCCCATTCAAGTTCATTCCGCTTATACATACATTTTCAAAATAAGATCCGCTCAAATTGCATCTTACAAAGTTTGCTCCAATCAAAGAAGTGTTTTTTATCTTGATATTTTAAAAACTTTGTTTTGTAAGATCAATCTTCATTTCAATTAATAAGTTTAATGAATTAGATCCACTTTAGATGAATTAATTATCCAAAGATGTAAGCTGAACTAAAAATTATAAAAATTTGATGATCCTCTAATCCTCTTTTATTTTTTCCTTTAAACTTTGTCTCGTTTGCAAATAGATTTCAGTGGAATAGTCATTTTAATTAAAATCATGGTCTCTTATTTATTTGAGAATATTAATTATTATCTTAATGTTATT